ATGCTCAGATAGGTAGCTTAAACCAAACAGAAAGGCATTTAGGTGGATATTTTAGTATTCCGACACAGCGAACAGATAATGGTGATCGTCTGCTGCAGCTATGCTCAGACAATCGTTTATTTTTAGCAAACACTAATTTTAAGCATAAGGAGAGACATCGTCTAACATGGCGACCCCCTACACCAAACCAACGATGGACTCAAATAGACCATATTGCCATCAGTCATCGTTGGAGAGGGTCGGTAGAAGATTGTCGCTCATTCTGGAGTACCTGCTTGGACTCCGACCATGCCCTAATACGGGCACGCATCTGCTTGCGCCTCACTGGACGCAAAAAAGCCACATTAAAAAGACCCGTTAGAACTGAGTTGAGTAACGAGAAAACCAAAAGTAGGTTCCAGGAACAACTGAGGTCACACTTAGGTAGTTGTGAAGACGAGGCTAACCCAGATGTTGCTTGGAAGAGCATACAATCAGCTGTGGAAACAGCAATGACATCTATTAGTGACTTAAACCACAGAGTTGCAAGGAACCAGTGGATTTCTTCAAGGTCTGTCACACTGATGGATTCTCGCAAACCCGTCCCATCAGGTTCTGAACATGATGAAGAGCGACAACAAATCAGATCTGGGTTAAGAAAAAGTCTAAGGAACGACCGTGAGCAGTGGTGGGTAACGAAAGCAAAAGAGATGGAAAAGGCGGAGACTATAGGGAACACAAGACAGCTTTACAGACTAATAAAAGAAACTGGAATTAATAAGTCAAGTGTAAGTGAGATTATTTCGGATAAAGATGATACTCTCATCTGCTCCCAGTCCAGACGTTTAGAACGATGGGCGGAACATTTTAGAGAACAGTTCAGCTGGCCTTCAGCTACTCTACAACTACCCTCCATTCCCAGACAATGTGAATGGAACATTGAAGTAGGTGCCCCAACTCTTGCTGAAGTTCAAAAGGCTATAGTTAATCTGAAACGAGGAAGGGCAGCTGGTCCAGATGGATTGGCTCCAGAGGTCTTTAAGGATGGTGGTCCAATTTTAGCGATTAGGTTGACTAATATTTTAGCTAAGATCTGGGAATTAGACTTTATCCCATCTGACTGGTCGCAATCACTCATCGTCCCAATATATAAGAAAGGGTCAAAATCATCCTGTGACAACCACAGAGGGATTAGTTTAACAAGCATAGTATCTAAAATACTGGCCTCGATAATTATCAGACGCCTAACTAAGACTCGTGAACTACAAACTCGAGAGAACCAAGCTGGCTTTAGACCTGGTCGTGGCTGCATCGACCACATATTCACCATTCGTCAGGTTCTAGAACACAGGCATACCTATCGGCGTCCGACGATGGTGGTCTTTCTTGACTTAAAAGCAGCGTTTGACTCTGTAGACCGCGAGACTCTGTGGCAGTGTCTGTCATTGAAAGGCGTACCTCAGAAGTACATAAACCTTGTGAAGGCTCTTTACTCGAACACTACTAGTCGAGTCAGGGCTTATGGCGAACTGTCATCTACTTTTGCAACTTCAAGTGGTGTCCGTCAAGGCTGTCCACTTTCTCCATTTTTGTTTAACTTCATCATAGACCTATTGATGGAAATAACACTCTCGTCGACTGAATTCTCGGGTATTGATCTCCTTCCAGGAGGTCCACTTATCGACTTAGAATACGCAGATGATATAGTCCTGTTTGGTGAAGACGCTGACAAAATGCAGAGTCTTCTGGTAGCACTAAGCAACAATGCCAGAATGTTTGGGATGCGCTTCTCTCCCTCTAAATGCAAGTTGTTGCTTCAGGACTGGTGTGCGTCAACACCTGAACTAAGGATAGGGAGTGAAATAGTCGAACGCGTCGACAACTTCACTTATCTTGGAAGTCTGATCAGCCCTAATGGGTTGGTGTCTGACGAAATCTCAGCACGGATTCGAAAAGCTCGTTTGGCTTTTGCCAACTTACGTCACCTTTGGCGGAGGCGAGATATCCGTCTATCAATAAAAGGACGAGTATACTGCGCGGCAGTCCGTTCTGTTTTAATTTACGGCAGCGAAACATGGCCTTTAAGAGTAGAAGACACCCGTAAGCTACAAGTATTTGACCACAGATGCCTTAGAAATATTGCTGGCATCACCGGGTAAGTAATAGTGAGGTTAGACGCAGGGTATTAGGGAATGATGGTAAATCAGTTGATGAGGTTATGAATCTTCATCGACTGAGATGGTTGGGCCACGTATTACGTATGCCTGAACACCGATTACCACGACGTGCAATGCTAACCGGTGTAGGGGTTGGTTGGAAGAAAGTTAGGGGCGGCCAAACCAAAACGTGGCATCAGTGCTTGAAGTCACTAACTTCTAGTCTGAGCCATGTTGGTAGACACAGACTACTTGGTTGGGGTCCGCGTGACTATCGTAACCAATGGTTGGAGACTCTTGGTGACATGGCTCAGAATCGATCACAATGGCGTCGGTGTATACACTCCCTGTCTTCCCTTAAACTAAGAGATTAAATCACTTCATATCTTTCTTTCTACGAACTAATTCTTCCTTCCTATACTATATCCTTATTGCAACCTTTGACCTAACCACTCCTATGAATCCGGTGTTCATCTTGTTGTGCTAATGAGGTATGGCAACCTGGACCGATGCACATATGTGCCTGGTCCTACGTTGTAGCTGACTGACTGAATAACCCATTTTAAACTACAAATATACAATCCGTATGCTCAAAAATATTTTACAATGAACCGAGTTGTAAGGAGCAATTACCAAGAGGAATTATATATATATATATATATATATATATATATATATATATTGTGTGCTATATCTAGTAGGCAGACCAGAACATTAAGCAAATAAATAGTTAACTAAGATACGCTTTTCCACATTTTGTCGAGAGTAAACTTTTAAAATAAATATTATCTAAGAAGATTAATTATGCATTCCTTTATATATATATATATATATATATATATATATATATATATATATATATATATATATATATATATATATATATATATATATATGCACTCCACTCTCTGTGTTCTCCCAAACTCTAATCTTCTGAATTCTTCAAGTCCCTTTCTGTTTTCTCTTTCCAAATTTATTTCACTGGATTATACTCTTTAAATAACATCTCCAAACCCTAATCTTCCCGATTACTGCTTATACTCTTATTACCTCTATCACTACGGGATTTGAATCGACAAGTCCATCTCTGTGCTAATGTGGTGTGGCAACTCGAACTGATGTACGTACGTACGAAGTTCTACGTTGTTACTGACTGACTGATATATGCAGTTGTACTAACTGCTTGTGTGCATATAAGGAGAAAAGAGTGAAGCGTTCACAGAAATCTGAACAAGTAAACAGATGACAGAAAAATCAAAACTGAAATAACACAGAGATATTGAAAACAGAACATTAGGTTTTGATAAATTTTCATTTCTTGGTCGAGCACTATCAGCTCAATCACAAAAGTATATAGGAATGTCAAGGAAGAAAGAGGGTAACAACCTCGACAGAAGAAACCCAAGTTAAGCAAATGAAAAGTGTTCCAAGATAATAGGAATGGTCACGGATCAGATAAATTATAAAAACAGCAAATAATATAATAGTATGAAAAAAAGATTTATATGGACGAATAAAACGGAACTCAATAGATAAGAAACTTATGAACATCACATTACAGGAAAAATGTGTACTGTGCTCGTAAGAGCAAAGATGAAAAAAGAGTTGTTGCACCAGAATGCGAATATCTATAGTGATCACACGGCTATTTAGTCTAATAATATAATAGATTAAAGGAAGTTAGACAAAAATGCGTATATGCATGATCTTTCGAATAAGTAGAAGTTGAATGAGCTTTTTATCTGCCACATACATAAACGCACACAACAGCAATAAATGGGAGTTTAACTAAATTTTCTAATAAACAAACAACAGACACATAAATAATGAAGTAAGAACGGAGTAGTTGCAACTATTATTCTTGTAATTCTGTGAAATTGAGAACAGTTGAGTTATTTATCAGTGTGTAATAGATGTCTTTTCATTTTCGTCAGCCACACTAATAATTTCTCTTTTTCTAGATCACAAAGTATGTATGACGTATCATTATCTTTATTGTATCAACCACTCGCTACTTTATTGAAGAGTGATCACTGATTAGACAAACGAGATACTGAAATCAGGAGATTTTACATTGTTAGTTACATACAAACAATAATTAAAAAGAACCTGATCGCAGAAACAAATCTACAAAACAAGAAAAAAACAATTTTCGCCACATCCATTGTCATTGTAAAAGAATGATAAAAAGAATCAATACCGAGAGCAGAAACAATAATCAAGTAATCGTGATGAATATGTGGGCATGAGAAGATATGATACATATATCATATGCATAGATGAATAGTTTTGATAAGAATAGGATGAAGAAAGAGGTTGACAAACATCAAAAAGAATATAAGTGGAACAATCAATTCGACAGAATGTAAGGCATAAAAGGAAACATTAATATTTAAGAAAAAAACCAACGGAATGAATCAGTAGTCATGTATTCATATAGATATGAATTAAATGCATTTCATCGTATTTTTATTTAGTTGAAAAAGTGCTCGTGTATATGCATTTATATATGCACGTAATGGGTGAAGTATATATTTTGTGAATGACATTTCCGAAAATCAAGAAGTTATAAATAAGGATTGATTTCCGCTTTATATTGTTAATACTAGATAAATTCCTGTGGTTGTAACAAAACATCGTCGCTTCATAAAGATAAATACCAGTATTGACTGTTAAATGATAAAGGTAAGAGAAAAACGACTTCATTGAATAACATCAAATACTTATCTTAATGTTTGACCCGGTTTCAAAAAAATCAAGTTAATTTTCACATTTAATGAAAGCAAAAATGCGTGCAAATTAATATGTATTTGTTATGACGCGCGACTAGCTTTTATCCTTTTTCTTCTGTGTTTATGTAAGCGTTTAGCATTGACATTGGCCCTGTTGATTTTGTTGTTGCTGTTGAGGTTTATCGGTCAATCGATTACCTAATTTTATTGAGTACAAAAAAAAATAAAGTTTATGATAGCAATATGCAAGAGTGTAGTTTACAAAGTAAATGTTTGGAGATGAAGAAAAGCCAATTAAATGGTGTGGTAGTAAACAATGTCAGATAATCAGAAGTAACGTAGAGCTTATTACAGATATATATGTCAAGTCGTCGCAAAACAAAGAGAAGAATTTATCAAAATAAATAACAGTGTAGATGTAATAAAACTATCGATGGAAGTAGAAAAGTTTGAACATATGGAAAAGGAGACGAGGAACGAATTCCCAGGCGTATTCAAACTAGGAAAACAGAAATTATGAAGCTCTCTTCTACTTCACCTGGTTGATAGCGGTCATTTTGCAGAAAGAACCAAATTATTCAGTTATTTATCATAAAACATTAACTTTTACTAGTGGGTTTCAAACGCGTCTCCTACATACAGAAGTTGTATGGATACGAAATAACAACCGTATTCACGGGAAATTGCAGCATCCTGATTGTGACCGGAGATATCAAAACAAAACTCCCTCATTGATTTGGTCAGTGATACGGTAGTTAAGCCTTTTAATTTAAACACTTCTACCGAATTTTCTTCAATTAATCATTTTTGTGCAGTAAGTTTGATCATTTTCAATTACGATGTTTGAAATTCTTTTTTTTGCTGCTGTTGAAAAATAGATTTAAGCTGATCTGATAACATTGCGTAAGTTTGACAAAAATAACTTCGCCAGAAACTGTTTTGACGGGCAGTGTCCAAAATCCGATATTGATAAACGATGTGCTAAGCCCCCAAATGACTACTTGGGCGGGAACATAAGATTGAGTGAGAAAATGTATTGGGCTACCGAATAAAGTGCACAAATACTCATTCATACATATATACCACACTATCCTCAGGAAATTGACCCATTTCACAGACAATGAAATGTACTCGCCACCAAGGTCACTTCTGATTGACATCGACTGAACTTTTCATTCGACTACTTCTGATTGGTTCTGCATATCATTCTTATCTTTTTCTTGACCGGATAAGGTTCAACAAACGACTTTAATTAATATTACTATTTCAGTGTTTTTGAGCTGGATGATGTTATTGTGATGCTTTCATTATCCTTCTTGATATCATCGATACACAACTCCATAAGGAGCTACTAAGATTTCTTCTCAACTGACTAGCTGCTTGTTTTGTTGACCTAGAACCTAGTTAACAGTTATCTGTTATTGTGCTGCATATTCGTCTCTATCGTTTTCACCTCTGGCTTGATCTCTGACCTTGGGGTTGTACATAGATCTATTGACTGATGTGTTAGTGGGGTGCTAAACCTCTAAAAAATAACCGGGCTTCTTTTGCTTCCACTGTACAGTACTTGGAAGTTTACCCAATCAAAAATCATACCCACACACATTGACATGAGACAAGCAAGGTCGTGGCGTTGAACTAGTACCTGATGTTCACATAGAGATAGATGAAGTGGTAGCGCATCAGTCAACCAAGCATTAACTTATTCATCAAGTGTTGGGTATGAGCCACACTCTCGGTGTGTGAGGACCAACTATATTACCCGGTTGTCCAAACCAAAGTAGATGGAGTGAGGTGCGCACTCAGAACTTAGTGGCTGAAATTTAAAGGCCTTAACTATTAAATAATGGTAGGTAAGCTGACGAAATCATAAAACCAACTTCTTACGTGTTTAAGACTTTGTTAAGAATATCACGTCAAAGTCAGCCTAATATTCATGAAATAAACCTAAACTATGGTTGAAGATGTCAGTTCAGTTTAGTAACAAGAAATGATACACATCAGGACCAGGTAATGTGTCTTCCAAGACTGGGTGACCGACCGTTAGTACTATACAACCACGTCATCAGAATAAATAAAAGTTTCAATAACAAGATATGATTTAATCATTTCTGGCAAGCATCTAATTATTGTAAACATGTATTTTCCCCCAAAACTCACCTTTCGATGTCCCACCAACCGCACCTGGGTTATTATCTATATTATCAGACATTTTATCGCATATAATATCAACAAGACGATCAAATACATTCTTTACGTTAATATTTTCTTTGGCTGAGGCTTCGAAAAATTCCAAGCCTTTTTGGTCCCCGTAAAGTGTCATATAATTTCAAAGAAAAAAGCGAAAGAACAACAAATAATTAGAAAACACATCCACCCCTTTTTCAAAGTATTATAGACGAAGTAATAATTAATCAGGGAAATTATCAACAAAACAAATGAACATCTTATTTTGAGTTGGTAAAATTAATTTCTGTTTCTTCCTTGAAAAAAGATGCACTGTTGTTTTCAATATATATATATATATATATATATATATATATATATATATATATATATATATATAGTTAGATATAGATCGTCGAAAACCTAGAACCTAGAGTGACCAATTAAAACATCTGGTCGTCAGCGGTTCGTGAATGTAAACTTTTATCTCAACAAAAGTAGATATGGTTTTTCTCATCTTAATACTTAAAACAACACTGAACACTCTTTGAGTGGCAACAATCAAGCTTGAGCTGTAATTGAGATAATATAAGGGTCGATTGAATCAGGAGCACGCCTTCTATCCCCTATCTTCATTCCTGTAAGACGACAAAGGAGATAAGATCTCTATCGTGTGGTTGCTATTATGATAGTAATTTTTGGACATATCAACATAAATAGAAGATTACATTGTACGTATAACTATGCCATAAAACAGATCAACTAGACAATGGGTCTGTGATGAATTAAAGACTCAAAGTAAATACATATAAGAATAGTTTATGTATCAAATGAAATGGCACAAATAGAAATATAAAGATATGGTGACCCATGTGTCTACTAATTATACAATAACTGTAAACATTATATATACAACACATATCTGTAAGATTTGCACTGTTATCTCTTATAAGAATAATACCTCAAATTCTCAAATGATTTGTTACTCATTATGACTTAAACAGTAAGATATACTTCTCTGTTTAGTTTATTTAAAAAAGAAATATAAGATAAGTGAGGTTGTACGAGGTTATAATCTAATTATTGGCCTTTAAGATTTGTTGCATACACATTATGTCTAAGCTACTTTAAAGAAGAGTGTTGACGACCGATAACAGAGTAATTCACACAGAAATCTCCAAATAATCAGATACCTAATATGATTGTTAGTTACCCTCTAGTAAAAACTTACTAATATGGTTACTGATTCGCTTGGAAAACTATTATTAAATGATCGACATGAAATTGGGATAAACTACGAAGTGAGCATTTGGTATCTGTATTGTGTTTAATTGGCTGGAAAAAATTGTGATACTTTAACTCTTATTCGAACACGAAATAATTACTTGTCTACAACATTACATAACCAAATGCACATTTTGCTAGATAATTTTTCTTTTGAAAAATGATTATTTATGTTCGGCGAACAAAATGGACAAATACAATAGAAGCAGTTAAATCCCTAACCCTACACTAAATTAAGGAATCCAAAGGTCAACTGTCTATTCTAGCATTTTAAATGATAATGGAATAAATGTGAATTTTTGAGCAGTTTGATATAAAATATTGGGATGCTGAATGAGATGAAAGGTTATGAGAAACAAAACAGAATACAGAAGTGCATTGTTTAGATTGCCTTTCGTCTACTACCGACTACTAGTAGAACTTTAAAGCAATCACAGAGGGTTGTGTTGTATGCAAGGTGTGATTGATAAGCTCACCAATTATAGTAGTAATTGCTCATCACTTTGATGACATTGTGCAACTATGCTTCAATTATTTACCAATCACAATCTCCTATGTTTTTATAAACGACTACTAATTTGTTTTTTTTGTAGTAACGCTGTTAAATTGTGTTTCGGAAACCGATCAAGTTTATCTAGCCAAATACCTTACTTGTTCTAACTTTGGCTACGCTAACACTTAGTATTATTATTATTTGAACATATGAATACTGGTACAAAGAGGAACCAAATAAATATGAGCCACACAACAACAATGTGAATGTGAAAAGAAAGAGAATGTAAAATGCGTATAAAAAGCAGAACAATGACGAACAGAAATCAGTGTGAGAGTGAAATAATAATAATGGGAGGGGCAGTCCAGTTAGCAAAGGTACAACCAGAAAAAATTCATTCAGTTGAAGAAGTCAAGTTCATTTCTTTCTGAAGAAAATAAAAGAAAGTGACAGCAGGATTGCCACAGGCTTCTATTCAGAGCCACGTCTGATGAAGTTTCTAGCCAATGTGTTGCACCATCTGTAGGATCCTAACCAGGGGGTCGTTTTAAATTCTTTTTTTTGCTGCTGCTGAAAAATAGATTTAAGCTGATCTGATAACATTGCGTAAGTTTGACAAAAATAACTTCGCCAGAAACTGTTTTGACGGGCAGTGTCCAAAATCCGATATTGATAAACGATGTGCTAAGCCCCCAAATGACTACTTGGGCGGGAACATAAGATTGAGTGAGAAAATGTATTGGGCTACCGAATAAAGTGCACAAATACTCATTCATACATATATACCACACTATCCTCAGGAAATTGACCCATTTCACAGACAATGAAATGTACTCGCCACCAAGGTCACTTCTGATTGACATCGACTGAACTTTTCATTCGACTACTTCTGATTGGTTCTGCATATCATTCTTATCTTTTTCTTGACCGGATAAGGTTCAACAAACGACTTTAATTAATATTACTATTTCAGTGTTTTTGAGCTGGATGATGTTATTGTGATGCTTTCATTATCCTTCTTGATATCATCGATACACAACTCCATAAGGAGCTACTAAGATTTCTTCTCAACTGACTAGCTGCTTGTTTTGTTGACCTAGAACCTAGTTAACAGTTATCTGTTATTGTGCTGCATATTCGTCTCTATCGTTTTCACCTCTGGCTTGATCTCTGACCTTGGGGTTGTACATAGATCTATTGACTGATGTGTTAGTGGGGTGCTAAACCTCTAAAAAATAACCGGGCTTCTTTTGCTTCCACTGTACAGTACTTGGAAGTTTACCCAATCAAAAATCATACCCACACACATTGACATGAGACAAGCAAGGTCGTGGCGTTGAACTAGTACCTGATGTTCACATAGAGATAGATGAAGTGGTAGCGCATCAGTCAACCAAGCATTAACTTATTCATCAAGTGTTGGGTATGAGCCACACTCTCGGTGTGTGAGGACCAACTATATTACCCGGTTGTCCAAACCAAAGTAGTGAGACGTTGTTAACTAGGTCAATCGAACCCTTTTAAAGATGGGAACAAACACTGACTTATTCTACGATGTTGGAAAACCCACTTATTTCCAAACCTTTATAACTTAGTTCCATAATCATAAAGTCTAAAAATGGATTGCGGTAAGTAATGTGGGCCTGGAGATTTGTTGCACTTCAAGAGTTAGAGTGTCTTGTGGACTTCCGCCTCATTAGGTCGATCAGTTGTCACGGGTCATGGGGGTAGGAAAGTCTGATCGATGTTGCTGGGACTGCAGACCAGTTGAGCTGCTCCTCGAAAAACTCTATCCATTGTCCAGAACGTCAATAAATGCTACTGATTGGCATCCCGCCACCTTCACAGATTGTTTCACTCACACCAGTGTTCTTGCTCCTAGTGACTCGGATGAGTTGAACGAGCTTCCAGCAGTTACCAGATGCAGTTGCTGCTTCACAATTTCATTTCGTAAATCTTTGTTTGTGGTCAAACTCGCAATCACCCGGAGCAGACCGACGGGCTCCATCGATTTGTAAGGAGCCTGAAGAAACCCAGTGCTTATGAGGGACTTGACATTTTCATGACATTATGCATTTTCAACCACTGCTCATCCATAGATGGTAGATAGCCTCAAACCTATCTCGGTTTGATATTTAGTTACAACAGAAGCTGCAACCCATTTACTGACATCGATTTGTTTAGGACGATGAATCTGTTGGCCAGTGAATAGCAAGGTAAGATTAGCGCAAACAAGGGCATGATCGGAGTCTAGAAAGGTACTCCAAAAGGAGTGTCAGTCTTGTACACAACCACGCCTCTGGTAGCTGACCACGATGTGGTCAATCTGAGATGCAGAGGGAGGACGCCAGGTGGTACATCGGCGATGACTGTGCCGGTAGTTAGTGCTAGTGAGAAACAGGTTGTGATCTGCGCACAGTAGAAGTAGACGGTCCCCGTTATCTGACTTGCGTCCAAGAAGTCCCCATCGGCTACCTAAACGACTCCCTTCTATGCCTAGACGCCCGAACTGAACTTTCAAGTCTCCGTCTTGTATTACAATGTCTATCAGGCACACTTTCTGAAGAGGAACAGTTAACCGGTGGTAAAACTCATCCTTGATCGCATCCGGGCTGCAATCTGTCGGAGCATAGGTGGAGATGACGAAAAGACATCGTTTCTCACACCGATTTCTTCTTACTTTGATGGAAATTTCTAATATAACAGCACATAACCTACTGTTAATGGGGATCCAATCGATTAGTGCTGCCTCAGCTCTGGCATTTAGTGCGACACCAACACCAGCAAAACCAGACGAAGATGCCACAGGGTCCCCGGATAAGCGCACGTAAAATAAACCTTTTGAAGCGACGGATGGAGAGCTAATTTGTAGTACTTCACTAGTCCTAAACACGGGTCACGGACAAACAGGCATCGATATTAAGACTTTCTAAAGACAGCCAAACCTATCCGTTGTCCGATCTGCATTAGTGTGTGAACGTTGAAGGAAGCCAGTTTGAATGGTATACGTGGTTTCAGAAAGAATTTCAGTATCCTTAGTCGGTGGTAGCATTCAACTTTCGACCAGTCAGTGATTCGAGATTGTTTAGATAGGACAGAATTTCCACCATAGGCGAGCTTCGGTATAAGTTGGAAAATAAGAGTACACAAAGTGAAAACAGAAGAGAGTAGATAAGCGACGTAGTATATAAAGAATGTTATCAAATGATTGTCAATGTGATTTACCTGAATGCTAATTGATGCAAGAATATTTCCAGTAGTAATCGTCATTTGATTCGCGTGTGAGCTGTGATGTTGCCCGTGTGCTCAGACCGAGGACTTTGTGTTCGACAGCCTAAGGACTAGCTTAAAATTGTATCTGTAGGCGACTAAATCCTGTTGTACGTTATCATACATAACGAGCTTTTTCTAACATGGTTAGAACCTTTCGTTTTCCTTGTTTTCATATTTCAAGTTTACAGACTGCATGTTCATACGACTGTGTTATAATGGTGCTTCAACAATTTTGTGAACCAGCATAAGTAATCTTGAGTAGTGATAATTTAATGACTTAAAAATTTGTCACTTAATCAGCAGGTTAAAGGTCCGAACATCACTTCATGCACATTAATCTGCGCAACATGATAACAATCCGAATTTTAAAATTCAACTAAAACCAACTTGGATTTTGAAAAACTACACCAGTGGAGGTTTAATATAAAAAAATTATAAAACTCTGAGCGGAACTCAAACATATGATTAGTTGCTCTACATTAATATCAAATATTATAACTTGTAGATAGGTTGAGAAGATATTAAACTCACCCAATTGATGAGCTAAATGTCTGCCTCGATCGACAGATACAACTCTGTCATCTACGAGATCACATTTATTACCAACAAGAACCACTTGCGCATTATCCCATGAATACGTTTTAATTTGAGTTACCCTGTTTAATACAATAAAAATTAATTGTGCATAAAAGTATCATTTAACTATTGGTTAATGTATTAAGAGACAAACTTAATGACAACGCATATCATCTGATAATCCATGAGAATAAATAGCTTACTCCTCCTATTTGTAAGGTATCCTATCGACCTGAAGGGTCGTGATACAACAACACAATATTATCCAGGGACTATATATGAAAAGCAACACTCAGTAAAAATGAAACTAGCTTATCAATTATACATTTATATACTGGGAAACTGGTGTTTTAGGGAATTTCTAGAGTGAAGTGGAACGAGACATGAACCTGCAACTAAAATGGCTGAATGGTTTAACCTATAAGGCTTTGCTCTACAACATCCTGTAGTTCAAAAATAATAAAAGGGAACATTATCTACAAGAAAGCCTGTATACTTAGGGAAATGTAATCATATAAATATACACAGAAGAGATTATGTATAAGTTTGTAATTGTAATTTTTGATAGTTAAGTGAGCTGCAGTAAATCACTTCAGTTGACAAGAATGTACCTCCTTAAACGTCAGTTCCATCCCTTATGGTAATATATCTTGAACGGAAAACTAATGGCTTAAAGCTTTCTAAACAGTATTAACATTTCTGCACAATACACATGAAAAGGTTGAACACCTAGAATAATAGTAAAACTGAACATATGACGATTTCCAAGCATAATGAATAAACCAGAAAAAAATTAACTTCCAAAGAACATGTGAATTTCAAATGAATTATTTATAACTCATGAGAAACTAATTAGAAAGTACATTAAATATTTTAACGCAACGTCTAGTTTATTAAAAACGTAATAATAGATCAATATAAGCTGTTTTAACAGTTGAATCACATATACATGCTATTGTTTTGATCGTTATCACTTAAGATTTTCAAAACGAGCACAGAAAACGTAGCAATGGCCTTCTAGTTCACGTTACCGTATTTCAACCTTACCAACAGCACGAAGAATGGAATAAAAAACAGCATGACAGAAACACAAAATCACCGAGTGATTGGAATTAGGGATCAACCGACTCACTAGTATTGTGCTCATCGCGACATCAGGTTTTGAGCCTGATCCCTGATAAGGTTGTGGGTGCCCGTTGAAGAGCAACCTCGAACTAGGGGAAATCAAATACTAATGCTCTCCAGCTTCCAAAACCGGTTTTGATTCATGATGAAAAATAAATAGAGGATGAAAGTAATGATGGCAATATTAGTGAACAAAATAGAAGATAAGCGAAATAAGCTAGGATGGGAAAAAGCAAAGCCAATTATTATAGAACATTTGTTAGGCATCATAATAAATACACATACATCAAACTAAGACGGACTCTTTGGTCACATTCATTAAATCCTTTGAAAACCAGTTTTGACGGTATTGATAGAAAATACCCGAAACCAGACTGAAAATTGATAGCCCAGGTTACCTCGTGAATTTATCTTTACAATAACACCTTGTATTTACACAATTATCATGGACCAAAGGGTTATTTCTTCAATATCGTTTTATGGTGACAACTAAACCCTCCTTTTTATTGTAATATCCAAATGATTAGTGACATTGAATATATGTCGAATAGTTCACTCTTCATAGTCGGTTCATTAAAAACGCTTGACAACCGCCTCGTCGGCTCGCGTTATACTGAAAACATGTGCATAGATGATTACTTCAAATTCAATCCACCGATGATCATTCAAACAGTGGATCAGCAACTAGAAGGCATAACAAATCGTATAGGTCTGATGTCATCATTAAAGCAAGAGGTTGATAGTTGTGCTAGCCTGGCATCATCCTTGTAATTTTCACAGCCTCAGTAAAGCGTCCGACCTGCTAGATCAGAGACATCTTCGACGCAACATTTCCACAAGCATTTCTAAACAACTCATATGTACCCTAAACGTTTTTCTTAAGTTTTATTGAAGATATTAATACCTTAGTTATTTTATTTATTAGAAATCACGTAACCTTATTCGATGCAATTAGGCATTTAGTACATTAAGTTTAGAGAGAGAGCGCGTATATTGACCATCCACTTGAAGTAATCTAAGCATTATTTTATCTTATGATAGCTCTAAAAAATCGCAGCCAGGAAATCAGGAAGTTAAAAAGCAAGCAAACAGGGCTTTCATCTGTACGACTGAATGTTTATTACGATTACGTTAGAAAAAGAGTAATGTAACTATTATTATCCAACTGTTTTTACATCAGTGTACGTAAGAGTATCTGAAACTTTTATACCTTTTACCAAAGGAAACTCTGAATTCAATATTCTGTGTTTCCTATAAAAAAACCCACTGGTATCTAACATAGAAGGTAAGAAGTAACAATCCTAAATTGTTTTTATTTCTAATGACGTTTCTATCAGCATGAGTATAAAACACAAGAATATCTATTCCTACGATCTGCTTGAGGACAGCCAGATTCTAATTTCATTGGAATTGAGTGATCTATGAGATCCGTATCCTTCCACCTCTTACGGTACAAGTGACTTCTGATTACACTTATTTTTGTGTTTAGGACTGTGTATAACGTGCCATTTTACTAGACGAAACCTTTTCTACTTATGAGTGATCGTGTCTTTTAATACCAGTTTGCTAGCGGCAAACATCATTAGCTCAGTTTCCTGAACAGTTACCACTTAGGTATGTCATATCATTGCACTGCGGCCACCGATCGGCAATCTGTTTATTTATCCTGTTGACTCATGGAACTATACTATCACTATTACGATGTGTCCTTTTTTACTGAATAGTTGCCTAAACAAGTCCCAACAATTTAAAATATATGGGAATCGGATTAGCATAATTTTGGGGCTTTCTAGAGAAAGAATAAATTCAGATTAAACAACTCACCAATCCTGAACAGCATTGAAAGATTCTTCGTTGGTAATATCATACATTAATATGAAACCCATTGCACCACGGTAATAAGCTGTTGTTATGGTACGGTAACGTTCCTGACCAGCTGTGTCCTATTTCGGTAATCAAGTGGAAATTACATAACATTAATTCCGGGTGACTACACATTGATTGTTTGATCTAAGCACACAGAATAACAATACAAATCTGTCCCTTCAATCATAAAACTAACGTTCCAATAAGGGCACTCTAGAGATTTACAAATGCATTTCATGAAACAGGTAAATCGAGGAATTTGCATCCAATGAGATCTTAAAAAATCTGATTTTCATCGATATTCGGCGCTACAATAACCTGATTTTGGTTATTTTTTTAATCTGTATACCGAACGTACGTTAATAATGACGTCACATTCCTTTTTTACAGCAAGGCTATTGTCTACTTTAAACTGAGCATTATAAAACACAAATCGTGGTAAGAGTGACCAACATGGTTGACAACGAATCCCTGAAATAACTACAACAGTAAAACTGATAGTGATGATTAAAAGCAATGCTGGAAAATAATTTACTATACGAGAGTTAAGATAGACTTATTCATAATTTTTACAAAACTCTGTCTATAGTAAGTGACAGTTTATCATTACGGGTAGGGTATATTAACACAATCCTTTAAACTAATAAGATCCACTGTCTACTTTGACAGACACGACATAACTCATTACATTATTTGTTGTCACTAGAAAAGATTTACTAATAAAAAATTTACCACTCCAATATATTTATAGATATGCATAGGCTAGGTTGATTTATGACTGTCTCCTAGATTTAGAGAAGTTATATACTGACTTAAACCCACAAGTATTAACAGGTCTGAATCCCGGGTACTCTATCAAGCACAAATCCAAACAACTGATTGTATGGTTTACACTAAAGAGCACGAAATAATGCGGACTGCATGGTTAATAATTGGAGTTGTAGAAAGATAGAGTCAGGATTATACTGAGATTACCAGGTTACTGTTCTATTAAGCAATCTATCCAGACAGGTCTTAACTTAATTTTATCTAGTAAATGTAAAATCCAGTAAACAACACGGACAAGTAAACTGCCTAACATAGTCTTCTCAAAACCTATGCGACTGGACAATAGGCCTGCATACCAGGAGTCTACAATTAGTCCTTGTGTAATTACCATGAATAATTACATGACTAGATTAGACAACAAACAACGGTAAACATCAGGTAAATAACTTCTAGGCAAATCTTTATCGTAAATGAATAACAACTACGGTGCTTAAGTATGATAGTGGTAAACGAAATAGGTATGTGGAACCAGACATCCAAATTTATGAAAATGAAACAGGAAGTCTCAGACAACAAACATAAGGGTACATGGTTGGAAGGGAACGTTCAGAAACCAAAGGGTTGATGCAATGATTCAGCATACATATTCGAAGCCATATGATAATCTACGGTTGTGCTAATACAAGTAATAAGAGACCCTATTCTAACCTCATTTTAGGGGCGTGGTGCATTTCAATCAGCAAGACTAATGGAAAGTAGATCCCCGAACAAGCTACTTCTGTGCACACAGCAAACAGACTAATTTGACGTCCAAACCTAGTATATCTACACATTACATCAATTTGTCACAAATTCTCGGAAACGGACAAACAACCAACGGATTAAGTGCTACCGTTGTGATAACATAGGACTGAAAGAATATTTGGACAACCTAGAAGAAGGCAAAGTGAAAGTTTGTGGATTATGTTGATTGAATGCTTACCATGAGAATTTTAAAATATTTGCCGACTTTTGTCACTTGAATCAGCTTAGATGAGAAATTTACTTTCAACACACCTCAAATCACATTACCTGTTTATGACGGGGTAAAACATCAAACCAAGCAGCAATTTGATGCACAACACATTATATAGACGGCATGGTAGATTGAAATTTCACCTCTTCAAATATCTTGCCACGCTCGCCTAAAGCCTTACGTCCAATCGTCATTTTCTTCGGAAGTCATACCAAATCTCAGTGAATACTTGAGGGTACCTATGAATATCTACTAACATCTTGTCTACATTTGAAAGACATACTTTGATACACGTCTGAATAGCTTACAACCGATTGTAAGTCATGATGAAGACTAGCTTTTTCTATATGTGTCCATGAAACTTAGATGGTAAGAGTGATAAACACTCAAAACTTAAACCATAAAGTCATTCTTGACAAAGTAGGTGCGAAATGTAACGTAAACACACATCTTCCACTAAACTGCTCAAAATGATCTGTGCCCCCCTGAACTTTTTGGTTAATGGGAAATACGTTGTCTACTCTATGAGGGAACTAAAAATCCCTACATGGATAAATTTATGAGGCGTGTAAACATTCAGATTGTCCCAACACTACACCTGACAGAGTGAAAGCGAAGAAGTGAACATCCCTTAGTATATACTGTTAATACTACCAGCTTTTGTAGTTTCCTCCACGGTCCAACACAGCCATATTAAATCCAGTGGGATTTATACACTTGTCACATGAACACCTTAGAGATGGAACATTTTTTAACTCGCTCGTACTCAGACATATCACTTTAGCGAGTAAAATTTGGGTATATCAATAACAACTTATCCTATAATATGGTAGAAGATAGAGATACGAGCTGAGAGAATAACGAACTGCTCAAGTAACCACATCAGTGAAGGGAGGTGGAAGCAAATAAGAAAGGAAATAAATTTCCTTAAAATCATATTGTCTATACATATTGCTATCTTTTCACTATTACTAACACTAACAAATCTATTACTTAGGTAGTTGCCTTGATGGCAACTTGGATAGATGCACATACGTGGCAGATCCTATGTTGTTCACGATTGACTGGATGACGTAAGACTGGGTTCGTTCCCGAATACAATAAAGACGAGATATATAAACTGAAAGTATTCTTGCTTACCCATATTTGCAGTTTCACCCTTTTGTCTTGTCTGAATACTGTCTTTACTTTGAAGTCAATCCCGACAGTCGAAACGAAAGCCGATGTGAAGCTATCATCAGCGTACCGAAAAAGGAACGACGTTTTTCCAACAGACGAATTGCCGATAATAAGCAGTTTGAACATGTAATCGAAGTTCTGGTCAGCTGCATCTCTAGTATGACTCATGGCTTCGCTTGCTTTTCGGAATGACAGTTGAAAACGTCTGCAATACGCACAAGGCGCCTCTTTACGACATTAATGTATGATCATCACCATACTGTAAAACAAGTATTGAGTTATTGAATTTACACTGCGAACAACACTCTGGTTTGCTACGATGGTGCTGGAACAATGTTTATACTATGAACATATAAGTCTGCATAAACGCGCGCTTTTCAAACGGGATGTTTAGTCCTAATTTGATTTGCATTTTTCAAACTTTTGCTGTGTTCTTACGCAACAACAGTACCATTTCTGATCTCAAGAACCTATTCTTGGCCATTTGTTCAGTAGATTGCTTTTTTCGAGTTTCACTGAATTTAATAGCTAATTGTGGTTTTACCTCAACTTACTATTACTTTTTTTTAGTTTTTCACGTAAAGGTTAGTTCAGTTTATCTCATCTGTTTTTATCAATTTTTGCCTGCTTTGAGTGTGCTTTTTAGCGTATTTTTGACGGTCTTAGGCTTTTGCTAACATCTATAATACAGTTTACGTCAATATAGTCATGAAAACATCATGCAAACGACCCGGATGTCGTTTCGCTGTTACATCTGGTATGTAGTGCAATAACTGCGAAGGTTGGTTCCATGAAGCGTGCACAGATCTCACAGCAGCTGCTTAGAACAGATTCAGCAAATCGGATCATAAGTGGATATGTGTTACGTGCAGCACGGATGCTGTGGTTTTGCTAAGTAACATCATTATACCATTGACGGGTCTGCTGAATAAGTTATCAGCAAACATGGAAAAAGACAGTCACGAAACGGGTAGACGAACATGGACGCGCAATGGAAACAACGAGAGAGATGTCGATAGGTCAAATGTCGATGAAGCATGCATTAGCACTAGTGATAACATGCTGGAACTCAGCACCATCATAACATCGACGGTAATAGACTCCTTCAGCAAACTTGAGTCTCCTAGAACAGGGTACGTGAATGCAACAGTGATTCCCAAAAACTATGCGGGTGACTGGACCCACGTCAACAGAGCTAAAAAGGACCAGGCGTCACCGTCTAAGCTGAACATCGCAAGTATTGTGCGGAAATCAGCTGGTGACTTGACCGCACAGTCTCCCTCAAAGAATGTCCATCCGGTCACCAAAGAGCCTAGGAATCAGAAACGTGCTTCGATTTCCAAACAACAAGTTGCTGAACGCATCGGAAAACCTGGAAAAACAATAACAGTTCGTGATGACTCTCTGATAATCATGAACATCAAAGACAACCCTGACCTTCCTCTCAGTTTGCAGGACAAAAATGACAGGATGCTTTGGAGAAAATTGAACAAGAAGCTTGAACATCTTAGAATAGAGCCTTCGACGGTCACATGGCTCACTAGAAGAAAGGAATCTAAGCATCAGAATCACCCAAGGATACCTCGTGTAACACTTAAGAATGCTCTGATAATAGGGAATGGGAATTCATCAAGCGATCCTTGAGTCTCAAAAACATACTGACTCAACATGTGACGAGCCTAGCCAAGAAGGAGGGAGGTTCTAGATCTCGGCTAGTGAGAACAACTTTCCCATCCTCCCATATGGCGGCTGCAACTCGGGAAGCATTTCGTACCAACAGACGTCGGTTGCCAACTGGAATCCATATGCACCCGGATAGGCCACATGACGCCAGGATCAAGCACAAAGGCAAGTTGGAGCTGACCATTCCACTTGTGAACTGTCTTCACCACAAAAGACGTGTATAAGACAGGGCCTACCAACTCGGCAAACCTTATATAAGAAGGCTATCTGTCCATCCACGTAAGGCTCATACAGACGAACAGAAAGAAGCTAACGTGTTTCAAATTGAAAGTATAAACTGCTTATACATGAACGCCGCGAGTCTACCAAATAAAACGGATGAGCTCAGTGAACTTAGCAATGCTGATAATGCCCATCTGATAGGAATATCTGAAACTTGGATATCTTCTCAGTTTACGAACCAGGAGCTAGCAATACCTGGGATATATTTGTTTCGCAATGACAGAAAAACAGGAATTTGGGGTGGAGTAGCCTTATGCATAAGATCCTGCCTGGAGGTACACCAACTTCATAACCGAGGGTTTATGAATCTTGATGAATACATATGGTATTCAGTAAGATTGTCTAGCACTTCAAGATACCTAGTCGAGGTCATCTATATGAAGCCCACTGCTGACATCGAGTACGACAACTGTATACTGGAAGGATTATCCTGCTCTACTCGTCACAGATTCACTCATATCCTGATTCGAGGGGACTTCAATCTCCCTGGAGTCAATTTCGCGGGACATACGTATATTGGAGGTGAAAACTCAACTGAAGCTCGGTTCTTCAACCTCATTGAGGATCTGGGATTATACAAGAATGTGAAATCGGCAACTCGTTGAAGAAACAATCAGACGCCGTTGCGCTTAGACAGGGTATTTACAATTGAAGAATTTCCAGTTGACAACCTCTCAATCCTGGCTCACCTGGGGAAGAGCTCTTATGTACTACAAGGCAGCCAGTTCCTCAAACGGTCTCCAATAGCTACAAGCAACCTACAATCATCGAAAACCGCACCCTTTGTTCGCTAAGCCGCAAAAGGCACTGTTGGGCAGAATACAAACGAACTGATAAGAACAGTGCATACAGGCACTATAAACACAAAGGTTATAAAAGAAGACGGGCTACAGTACCAGATAAAGCTTATGGATAAATTTGTCTCCAATCCGAAAGCTTATTCCGTTATGCAGCCTCTCTTCGTGAAGCCAAAACTGGAGTTTCGCAACTGCTAGGTCCTAATGGCCCGGCCAATAACGACGGCGACGCCGCTAACCCTTTGGTTGAACAATACTCTCGGATATTTCAACCGACACACATCAACTACACTGATGACAGCTTCATCTGCAACTGCACAGGACTTTCCGCAGTGAACATCAGAGCTGACTTGGTGTTCCGGAAACTACAACACCTAAGAAAAGACACTTCTCCTGGCCCGGATATGGTTCATTCTGCTATATTGAGGGAAGCAGCCTCAATCTTGGCAACACCGCTTAGCGTAATGTTCCCACACTCGCTAAGACAAGGCGAACTAACAGAAATTTGGAGGCTGGCTCACATCACACCGATTTTCAAAGGAGGTCAACGCAGATAACCTTCACGTTGCCAACCGGTGGCACTTCTCTCTATACCTTCAAAAACTATGGAGTCTATGATATGCGATGGTATATATGACTATTTACTGTCCTTAGATTTCTTCCCACCACAACAGCATGGTTTCAGGAATGGTTACTCTTGTATAACCAACCTGCCGACTGAGGTGGACAGATGGATAAGCATCCTCTATCGCAAGGGGAAGATTGATATCATTTACCCTTATTTTTCAAAAGCTTTTGATAGGGTTAACCATATATGTTTTATTAATAAGCTCAGACGATTGGGTATCTGACTACCTCTAATTGATAGGCTCACTTCATATCTGAAAAATCGACATTTTAAGGTCAGGGTTAACTTCACTTTATCTCAGGCTATGGAATGTTCTAGTGGAGTCCGCCAGGGCTCAATACTAAGATCTCTTCTCTTCTTGATCCACATAAATGATCTTCCACAAAAGCTATTGTCAGACTTATAACTTTTTGCTGATGGTGTGAAACTTTGGAGAGTGATACTTAAACAAGAGGATATACAGGCACTTCGGGAGGATCTGACCCGACTTCGAAGTTAAGCAGATGATTACGGACTTACCTTTAACACTTCAAAGTGTAAAGTAGTCCACCTAAAATATGTTGCAGACCACGGTTACAATCTAGGAAATTCTTCTCACGAAGTACCCCAATTCGCAAACGACATATGAGTGTTGGAACCCTACGATTTGAAGTCTTATGCCAATTGCGACAAAAATGCATTTCAAGAAAATCTTGCACTCATAACATTTAAGCGCGTTTTTTGCCAGTTTATTGGAAAAACGTTTCCCACACTCTTCAGCAGTTTCATTCATCTCCATTTAGAGCACAGAAACATGGTATTTCCTCCCTCACTAAACGAAAACGTAAGAGGTTTGCAATTGGTGAAGAGAATGAACTTTCAACTTTCTTCAGAGTTTTTAATGTACCGCACAACACGATATATAGCCAGCAGTTCCATACAGAAAGTGCAATACCTCGATTTAGTGTCTAGTAATCATCTCGAGCATACCAAAGGTTGCTAACTTTTCTTTATTCATTGTAGTTTGACTGCTCCTATCGCTGAGTCAGATGAGTCTGCTGTGATACTGATGGGTGCTACGGTGTCCTGGTGTGCAAGCAGTGTTGCTTTGGCAATAACTTCCTTAACTTTGGAGAATGCATTCTTCACGATGTCGTTCAAAATAGATGAATTTCGCATTTACACGAAGTCGGTCGCTTAAAGGTCTTATGAGAGACGCGTGGTTTGGTATGAACCGTCGACTAAAACTTACCAGGCCGTTGAACGTGCCTGGTTGCTTGGTTTTGGCGGATTATGGGTAATTCAGAATGGCCACCGTTTGAGAAAATCCAGGGAGTCGAAGCCGATCCAACATTTCCGAATATTTACAGTAATGTGTGTTTCTGTGGTCTTTCAAAAACAAGGTACAGATGCTGGAGATGAGATTCTATGTTTGGACTTCTGATCAAGCAGTCAACCACATATGCGTGTACGAAGTTGAGACCTCGAAAATGGTCATCCGAGAATCTGTAGAATGTGCAAAAGTTTGTGATGAGAGCGTGTTTAGGAATGTCGTCAACATCTGTGGGGATTTGGTTATATGTCTCAACCAAATCGATTTTTGAAAACACATTTGTATCTTTCACAGGAACTGTCAACCCGTGGATGTGAGGTAGCGAGTAACTATGGAGAATGGTTTTTTCATTCAGTCGCCGATAGTCACCGGTTGGACGACAATCATTGATGTTTTTTAAGGGACCATGAGCAAGAGATATGCTCATGGTCTGTTTGACGCTCGAATGATTCCTGAGTTTATCATG